TGAATCATACCTGGTATGTATCCTACAGGGTGAAGCACGCCAAAATTTTGTCTTATTGTAAGGCCTTGTTCTCTTGTTTTGTTTAGTTTATTCGTATTTGTCGGCTGAAGTTCCGGATTTCATAAAACATCCTGTTTCAATGTTTCTCTAGATAAGTTTGTTTTTTAACATGTATTTTGGGCCGAGTATTTTATGTTTAATCTAAAATCACTGCAACACTCCTCTTTTTTTTTACAAAATCGCGATTTTTAATTTGGTACCTCATTTTAAACTCCTCTATTACTTCTGTAGTCATTCGCAGTTGAGAAAATGGTTTCACACGGACTTTTAAGAATCTTGATTCGAATCCAAATACACTATACCTCGGATTATCCGAACAAATGTGTGTTTCGTCGAGCGAATTATATTTTAATCTACTAAATCTGGGGGAAAAGGTAAAATATTCATGCGCTTTTTACATACTTGATCGAAGAGGACGGATGTATGGATAGGAGAACATTGACGGGGGGACAAGAATGAAGTTAAGAACGGAACTTTCTGAAAAAAAAAAAAACTTCTCTTCCTCTCCGAGACAAAATTCTTGTTAATTTTTGTATCGCACTATGGTAAACATATTTTGATCATAAGTACATGTCGACGTCGTAAATCCGCAACCACGTACGTCGTTTGCGGTGCTTGAAAATCTTCGCTCCTATTTTATTTTTATATAGAAGAACAAATCAACATCATTGGTTGAAATTTTCAAAAAAATTTCCTCGCACAGAGAAGAAAAATCATGGAAGTTTTTAAGAATTGTCGTTGAGTAGTTTTTCATGTAAAAAATAAAGTATATGACAGGAAGTCTGCCACGTCGCAAACCGAGATACGTGGTTATGGAGTTACACCGCCGATATGGAATGTTATTTCCTTGTTTATCTCAAAAGTTTGTCCTCAAAATCAGGAAACATACTTCTCTCGAGTGGAGTTTACGATACTGTACTTGCTTGCCCATGTGCACGTCCATCACAATTTTATTTTATTCTTCCATCTTATATCGGGGATGGGCTGGACTCATAGGCGAACTACTATTTTAAGTGGATTACTGCCATGCTGCGGTGAAATACTGCGTTTCATTCACAATCATCTACCTTTCGATAAAATCGTCTCCATCATCAGCATAATTTTCCTTGAAAAGTCAGTTCTCGAGGACTTTGTTTTTCGTCCTAGTGTCCGAGTGACCTTTTTTATCCTATCTTTGAGAGCCTGTCACTCACCTTACTGTAATTCATCTGCATAATAATTTTATTTTTTTCCAGCAGGCTACTAGTCTGGGTATGATTTAAAGCAACACATAACGTATGTCCTGGTTACAATTTTATCAAAAATACGGTGACCGTATTAAGAATTTCCCCATTTAATATTTAAATCAGAGATTTGCATTTATTGATCTCATCACTGAAAAAAAAAACAAAAAAAACTTCCGACTCCAAGAGCCGTAAGAACGGACTATATAGTACTACCGTGTGTTGCGGGTTAGGAGACCGTATGTTCCCCACTCAGGAACCGGAGCAGTGGCCTCTAAACCCGTAGCAAAAAGAGCGGGACTTACGGTCTTCTGACCCGCAACGCACGGTAGTGCTATAGAGCCCGTAATAACGGCTTCTAAAGCCGGAGTTTTTTTTTTTTCAGCGATTGAAATCAATCAATTCAAACTGCAATTTTTGAGAAGGAAAAACAAAGCGTCAAATTCAACACAGCCTGTTGATAAGACGCGCTATTGATTCACGCATTTTGATAAAAGAATATGAGTTTAAATTCATATCAATTATGACCGTTTATAGTGAAAAGCGAGGCTGGAGTACATATAGGGTGAATAAGCTTCGAAAAATTCGAGGCCAGCGCGCCAACCATTCTCCAGCAATAATTAACAAAGGTTCTCGATCGCAAAAGCTGTGCATTACGTATACGCGCCAAAAATCTGATTTTGACCCATTGAACACGCGCCTGCATTTCCTGGGCGGTTTAAGATTGGATCAGCCTGTATGCGATACAAAAATCTCTCAAAATGCCAGAATATTAATAAAGGTTCACCGAAAAGACCAGTTACATATAATATCACTACGAGTTTTGGGACCAAAATAATCGCAGATCAAGCCGAGTTTTAATTTAATATTAAACAAATCGTGACCTTTTGTGGCGCGTTTGAAAGTTCAGAGGATCGCTATCCCCTGTTCTCCCCTAAAGGCACTCCTCAGCCGCTCCGTCGTTTAACTAGAGTACCTGAATACGAGAGAATATTTGCATCTCAATTAATTTATGACAGAAAAAGCGTGCCGCTCTCTGATTGATCGGCTATCATGAAGCCCCAGAGTTGGCCCAATGTAAACAAACCCCAGCCCCTCCGTTCCTAGTTTGGCCCAATGTAAACAAACAAGATGACGAAAAAGTTCCACAAAGTTCTAGACGTGATTTTGGTTGTAATAGAAATTTCTTTATATCCAACTTCTGAATTGGGGTCGGATCGAACTTCGATGAATATGTTTGCCAAAAATTAAGCTTTGAGTGTGATTATCATTAATTTCTCAGCCGATAATATGTGTTCCTCTAGGTCGGGTTCGTTTACATTGGTCCAACTTTGGAGCTCCATGATAGCCTAAACTGATGAACCAATCAAAGAGTCGCCCAGAGATGGTAATCCTCTCCCGTATACAGGTAGTCTACGTTAAACAACCAAATAAAGTCAGCAATAATATATACTTGATAGGACCCAATAGACAACAACGATACGGTAATTCAACAATTTCTCACCTACATCTAGCTCAGTCTTTCGTATGCAAATAGTCCGGGTCCCTTCACTGGCTCCATGTCGGACAAAGGGATGCAATTTAACCCTTGACCTTCTCCGCTCGGCTGACCTCATTTAATTACTCTAATTGCTTCCGTTTTGTCTTTAGCCACAAGATTGGCTGCCTGCCTCATTGTGCACCTCTCCGATTTTCGGATATCACGGAACGCGTCGATGCCGCGCACTAAAAGCAAACCCCGTAAAACTAATCGAATTTTGTCAATTCCTCGAACATAGCTCGTTCTCCACAAAAAGTCGAGGATGTTTTCTCTTGGAATTTTTTGGAAAGCTGGATTATATTGCAAAGAAACAATTTCAGAAACTTGAAGAAAAATTGTTGAAAGAGAAGACTTTTATTGTATCAGAGGAAATTTGACAACGCCAGCATGTTCATACGACATTTTTCTGTAGTAATGTAGTCTACACTGGAAAAAAAAAGCAAAAAAAAAAAACACATTGGATCCGGAGTCTAGACTCTTGAAAACATTGCATTGACAAGAAAAACGACTCTTGATTCAATCTGATTTAAGCTTAAATCAAAAGGAAACCCGCTCAAATTAAGAGGCTTGGTTCTTGATTTATAGCTTAACTCTGATTGAATCGAGAGTATTTTTTCTTGTCGATGTTTTTAAGAGTCTGGACTCTAGATCCAATGTGTTTTTTTTTTTTTTCTAGTGTAGCGTGACGTATTGGGACCCAATAATAAAGTAACGAATGCCCACAAATGATTTCATCAATGTGAATTAGCAGTAGCGATTTTTCAAGTAGGTATCAGTGTTTTTCCCCAATTTAAATCCATTACTAATATCGATCCTGGTTGAAACAGGTCGTCTCAAATACAATCGATCATTTTACTTGGTATGTAGGGTATAGCCAAGTGCTAGAAATAATGTGAGAATTTTATAAAAAAATACTTAAATTTTATCAATAAACTTTGACTGAATCTTTTCGAAGCAAGCGCTTCATCGTCAGGGTCACAAAGTATACATCATAAAGGCCATAATTAAATTTTAGACAAGGTAACAGATTTCATTGGTAACAATTGATAACAAATTAACTTGTATTAAGGAACGCGGTGGAGTCATCGTTGTAGTGTGACGCGCCTTCCATTCGGTTAGCGGCAATATGCCTACACCCATGGTCGAATATTTATCTCGTTACGCCGGCCGTAAATGAAATAAAAAATCGACACCTGCACGCGGAAAAAAAGTTTTCTTATCTCCGATTGCAACGTTGCAAATTTCTCCTAATTTTTTTATTTTTAATCAATTTTTTTAAAAAAAAGCTTCAAACAGTTTTTGTAGAAGTTTCCGAGAAATTCCCGGAATGATTTGAAATAAAATCATAAAAACTTTCGGCGCGATATTTCTGTTCGTTCTGTTTTCTTTTTATCAAACCAAAATTTTTTTTCGCGAATCAAGTGTCAGAATTGCTGCATCGTTTTAACATCGTCCGAGTTGCTGAATCGTTGCAAATGGCAAAAACCGGGCAGGGACCGTCAAAAGAATTGACGAGCACTCCTAGTTCTGCTGCGATTTTAGCGCGCGCAAGCCAGGGAAGGAAGCTCAGTCGAGTGTCGAGTCATCTTCAGAATGTGATGCGCCTTCAATCCAGTTAGCGGCAATGTGCCTATACCCGTGGTTGAGTAGTTTGTCACAAATAACGCTCGCGTTGCGTTTGGTGCAATGCGAGAAGTATTCATGCACTCTTGTAAGCACTAATAAGCGCTTGACGCCGACCGCACTGTTCGGTGCAATGCGTAAAGTATTTCTACAGTCTTGCAGGCGCTGATATGAGTTTGACACCAACCGCAACGTGTTCGGCGCGATTATTCGAACTCGCGTTAGGATAATCGCGGCATCGAAAAATGGGGCTTAATTGTCTTAATTTAATTGTTGTTTGTTTAATTGTTTACTTTTTTTCATCATCGAGAGGTTACTTACGTCACGATTTTTTCGCAATTTTATTTACGCGGTAAGCATACGCAGTTGACTGAATGTCTTGTATGTGGCAGACTCATTTTGCCCATATTCGCGTTTCTTTCAAACGTAATTTTCTCACGCTGAGAAATAAAGGTCAGAATGAATCGCAATCTTGAAGGAGCGGTTTGCATCGGACCACGAAAAAGCTGAAAATCAAGGGCAGACAGATTAGCAAGGACTCCAAGGCTACTTACGTAGGAAGAAGCCTGTAAAGAAGCTCTTCACATTTTCTCTTTTCTTCTTTGTAGTCTGCGGTTCTCTCCTCGACGAGCGATTCCAAATTATTGGCGTACTTCTCCATACGAGCTAGCAAATTATCAAGAATATTATCCGTTTCGAAATCTCTGCAAACAGAAAGCGCGTTTACAATTAGTTTCCAACAAAACAGTGGAAGAAACAAGGAGGAAAAACGGGAAACCAGGCTAAAAATACACAATTAGTAAAACCTGAGACGTTTCGACTCAAAACTGAGTCATTTTTAGTCGGAAGCAATAATTTTTTTTTTTTTTTTAAAAAAAAAAAACGATGAAAAACCTGAGCCCTATATGGTGGTGGCCGGGATCTGAGAAAAAAGCCGGTTGGTGCTCTTTTTGCTCTTTTTCTCTGATCCCGGCCACCACCATGTAGGGCTCAGCTTTTTCATCGTTAATTTTTTTTAAAAGTATTGTTTTCTACTGAAAATGACTCAGTTTCAAGTCGAAACGAAATATGTGAAACTTGTTACTGCCAGTTAAATCGTTCAATTAAATAAACCTGTAATACCTCAATAAAAATTACTTCTCTATCCAGTATTTACCGTTTTGTGACGCATCTTACTTTCCCCCTAAAAAGGAACGTAACCCCATTCCAAGGTTGCAAAATTGACTCAAAAATTGCATTTTTCACAAGAAATTACCAGTGAAATTTTGTCCAAATTTTGCTATTATTCGCATGAGATCAGAAGTAAAATCAGTGAATTTTTCAGTGAGAAATGTACAAAGTTTTCCTCATAAAATTCAATTTTTGAGAGGAAATTTGGCAACATTGGAATGCAGTTACGTTATTTTCAAGGAAAACGCTGAAATACCCAACTTTTACACTGAGGGTTGCTTTAAGATATTTGAACGAAAAAGCTGTTATTCTTCAGAAATTAAGGTTTGATCCAAGGATTCTTCAGAATATGCATGTCACAGGCACATAGTCAAATCAGGCATTTCATCAAATGTTTGGGCAAACAGTCAAATTTTGATGATTTACAAAGACTTGTATGTTTATGGGTATTGTATGTATTTTATATGGGAACTGTTAAGTTTTCATTGTTTTGAAAGTAATAATTCATCAAAGCTTACCAACTTATCTTGTATTTTGCCCTCCAAATGCTCCTCATATATTCTAACTTTCAACATTTGAAAAAGTCGGTATTATATGACATGCTGAAAACCCCGAGATGAAAGCTCGTTTAAGGATTACCTAGATTTAATTTATTTACAATTGTACGATGCCAATTTTTACAGAAACTCCTTATCAACTTGAGAGGATAATTATTTTGTCTACAATTAGCAATTTAATCAGAGTTTCAATCCAAGTAAGATTATTTGCCTAGGCATTTGACAAAATGCCTGATTTGACGATACGCCTGCGACACATACGTAAAAGAAAACGAAAGGTAAAAGTGAACTTACTTGTTAAGTTTTCTTATTAAAGTTTTGAGAGTTGTGAAATCTGGCCTTTCTGTTGGGTCCTCGGCCCAGCAACGACGCATCAAACTTACAATCTCATCATCACAGTCTAAGTTTTCAGGTACCGATGGCCTGAGGAAGGAGACTCCATTTTTGACCTCCTCCACGATTTCTGTAACATAAGAATTGGATTTATGCATTATATTATGCAGAATTAGCCTCAAGCTTAATTTATAGACACAAAATTCAGTAATACCGTATGTCAGGTACGTAGCCAGGGAGAGGGGGCCCCCCTCCCTGGCTTCGTTTGATTTCAAGTATCATTCTATTCGGAGTCGGTCGGAAGTCGTCACAATTTGTCTGGATTATGTCTGTAACCCCACCCCCTTTCCCCCACAAGGCGCTTTAAGTATGTTAGCCAAGTAGCAGTGATCGCGATAAATAGCGATTTTATCGGTGGCAATTTATCCCAATATTATCGAATACAAAATTGCGATTTATGGCGATTAAATCGCTGTGCATCGCAATTTTTTGTTCAATTAAATCGCGATAAATTTTTGTCAATAAAATCGAGATTAAATCGCCATAGATCGCGATTTTTGTTGTTATAGTATCGCGATAAATGGCCGGGCGATGAAATCGCGATTTTATTGCAGCAAGATCGAGGATAAAATCGCCGACAAAATCGCAACAAATCGCGATTTTTCCGTTGAAAAATGCTACTTGGGTAGTGAAGAATCGTAGTTGTTCTTGAAGGTCTTTTCCGGTTCCTTCAAGAAACAAGGAAGAATACGTAAATCAGGCCATAAAATCAGCAACACCGTCCTGAAAGGCAAAAATCTGATGACAGGCTCTGTGTCTCCTTGGCTGATGTGTTGAAGTTGCCACACAAGAGACAAGTGCTTCAATTAAGGCACACGAAGCTGAGGCACCGGTCTTCACTCCCTTGCAATTTCCTCGCGATGTATTCGCTGGCAGACGCGTCGCGAGTCGCGAGACCAGAACGACACAGTGACGTGCTTTGCGATATATCGATTGATACGCCACTCAAACCTATGGAAAAGATCGATTATCGGGTTGTTCGCACCGAACACCTAGTAATCGATTCTTGACCATAGCTTCAAGTGACGGTATTTCGATAGTCGATCATTCACGCCACGCCACTGCGCAGTGGCTCGTGTACGAGAGTGTAATCATATCTCTCTGACGGATCTGCCTCCGAGAGATTCAGTCAAAATTAGTCTAAATCAACTTTGAAGTTACAGCTTTTTCTATACCCACAGAAACTCCGCGTGATTCTAGAGTAGTTTGTTTAAGTCTTGTTAGAAATTATCTCCGCAAGGACGTCATCTTGATTTACCCTTGTACTGCCGTGGTAGGGAAGAACGCCGTATGAACATTCGAGAGTCGCCCCCGGATAAAACAGGTATTCTTGACAAGGTTCATGCATATTCTTCCTTGAAATTTTCAGATATTTTAGAATAAATCGCGAACAAAATGGTTATAGGACATTTCAACAACGATTTTTTGTCCGTGCGTCTGTTTTTTCTAGTAGTTAATGTCCATGCGTTTTTCCGGCAGAGGAGTTTTGGTCCACCTACTAATTGAGAACCAAAGTTAATTGGTCCACTAGTATATATTCACATCACCTACATCAAGCAAAAGCCTGCTTTCATTCAGCTATTTCATTCTTGTTTCAAAATAAAATCTTCTTAATGGCATACTCAAGAATTTTTCTGCCTAAATTGAGTCACTTTTTACTCTAATGAAATTCAAAAATTATGTTAAAAGTTATTAAATACGGATACTAGAACTTGGTGAGTTTTTAGACTCTCCTCTTGTACCGTAATATCTTAATTTATTTTGCAAAAATCGTGAAGGATGCCTGTCATTTTTAATACTTTGGAGCGCCTTCAATTCCGTATGATACTGTGCAACCCTTCTGTTGTGAAATAGTTGCTTGAGGCGCCGTGGTACGCTGCGGCACGGCGGGCGGGCGGCCAACGCCTTCAAACCTAAGTGGATACTTCAAGCATTGCGCAATGCGTGAAGTATCCCCTTAGGTTTGTAGGGGCATGTGCGCGTTACGCGCTGGCAGCACGCCGCTTCTGTTTGGTTCTTATATTTAAACTCGCGGAGTCAGCATTTTTCAGCTCATGATTTTGAAATGTTTGCACACTGTGCATGGATAATTCTCATTTAATGTGATGGAAAAAAAAAACATGTAATAAAGGAAAACATAATGTGTTTTGTAACTATTAAGGTGGTTCCGTGTCAATTTTAATGATTCCCAAAGCACTTAAATATGTTCTTTTATATTATGTGCTGTTACTGTACTGCAATATGGTGTAAGCGCAACCAAATGCTCAAAATTGGAGAAACTTGACTCTAAAAGATCGATGTACAAATGAGCTAAAACCTAAGAATGCGTGTTTCTTGGTTTATTTTCCTCTTTGATTCATTTTTGTATAGTTTCTTTCAACACAACTACGGCTCATTGGGATTGATATCGATGCCATCGCTTTGAAAAGGTTTTACAAATATTTGCCAAGTTTTAAAAATGTTCTTTGAATGAAGTACTATTTTCATTTAAAAAAGGAAAAAAAGGAAAGAAAAAAAGGGTATATAGAAGGTTTATTTTGTGTTGAAAATTTTTAGGATGGAATTAAACCAAATATTCACCGATGACAATTTGAAAAGATAAATCAAAAGAAGAAAGTAACATTTCATTTAAAAAATGAATTACCGTAAGAACACCTCAATCTCTCTCAATTTGCTCATTTCGATATCGGCAATATAATTTTACCTTCGGACTAAAATATAACACATGGACCACGTAACTGTTTCTTATTTTACAAGTGAACGTAAACTACTAGACAAAACAGGTGCGCAGACAAAAAATCGTTGACGGAATGTCCTGAAACCATAGTCAGAATAGTCTAATATTTTTGAAGACAAATATTTGCAACTTCCCCAATGAATTTGTATATTATATTGGAAGAAATTTGGCAACGCCTGTAGGTTCATACGGCGTTTCTTCTTAGTACGACAGTATAGGGAATGAACTGGACATATTCATGCTAAAAGGAACTAAGTTACACGCAAACCCCATGCGCATAGTTCCTTTTAGCATAAATGCATCCAATCGATGTATCTGCGTCGCTCTTTTTGAAGGGCTTGAGGGTACGTGAAATATTGCTATTTCAAGAAATGCGTGTTTAAAGTTTCAAAATCTTATGGAGCCTCACGGTGGTAGGAAAGGTCAATCTCTCTTTTTGATGAAACTATTAGATGGACTGTCTCATATCATAACACACTCACGGGGGGGCCTATGTGCGAAAGCTTCACATATAAGCCTGTTAAGTATCAGTCGGGCGAGCCTATCTAAGGCTAGTCAATCCTATGCCCAAACCCGTTTTCTTCCATGGAGAGAGCCGCAGTCGGGGTACCTTTAGGCAGAGAACTCCCCTGAAGGACCCTAAAAGCTCAAAGAAATCCTAATAATCGCCGACCAATCACAGAGTGGCACAATTTTCCTGCTCTGGAAGGATTGAGATGGAGTTTTATAGGTGCTTGAGAAGCTTTTCAGGTGCTAGAACGGGGCATCTCCACCCCATACCGCCCACCCTCTCCTCAGCATCTGACCAACCCTCACTAAATTGGCGCGCGCTAAAACGTAACAATTTTGTTTGCCGGGAATAAAAAGAACGACGGGTTACGTGCAGTTTACGGGGGCTAAATTGAATCAGGAACCCCCGCGGGAGGGGTGGGGGTGCACCCGTCACGGTATCGCTGAGCAGAAACCGCGCATCCCGCGGTGGGTTTTCGTTGGTGATGAGCGGTTATTGGATGGAGCTTCGCGCGCTGAGCGTGGTGGGAGGGGGTGTATTTAGCTGGGATGAAGGATGAATGAATGATGAGAGTTGCCTCACTGTTGCTCGAGTTCCGCTCGTATCCCGGTATTCTTACCGCGGTGGATGGGATAAGCGAACGGGAGAATGTCAATGATTCAATCGCTATTTTCGAGAAGTACCCGCCTTTTTTT